AGTTGTATTTACGCACAATCTACTTGTAATCTTGAGTTTTAAATAATATGCATTAATAAATAGTACTTTACGCATCAAAAGTAGTTTTTAAGAATTTTTGTCAAATGCTTTATAATATAGTATAGATTATTTTTTTAAATTTAATTTAAGTTTAATAATTAAATAATTTATTTTTGATTTAATAATATAACATTTTATAAAGACAATAATTAAGTATTCTGTTAGATTTCAATAATTATCCTAATTATATTTTAGATTTTTTATATTTTAAATGAGATGTTTATCCTGTATTTGATTGTGTTTATCTGCAGTTAGTTACACGAATTCAGATATAGGGATGAAATCGGATAAGGATGAACGGGTTTAAGAGTTTTTAAGAGTTTTAGCCAAATGCTTTATAATATAGTATAGATATAGATTGATCCAATAAAATAATGTGACTTGATAAACGTTTATCAAAATAAACATCGAATAAATTGCCTCTAAATAAAGTATTTTTTCTAAAAATGCAGCTGAAGGATTTGTTGAGGGCTTTGACTCCACGTTGCTCTATCCGCCTCTGCATATATGAATGTGTACAAAGAAAGTCCGTAAATTTGTGGGAGAAATGCAAAATAACATATTTTTATAATTTTTTAAGGATAAATTACATGAAAAAGTAATGTACTTTAATTTTAAATCTATTTTGGGTAACGTACTTTCAAATTTTCATTTTGGTACCTAAGATGTAAAGTTTTAAACATTTAATTACTCGGGTAACCGGTTGCAGTATTAATCGGTTATCATGCTGATGTGCCGAGTAGCGAGATGAAATTGAGTTGAATAGCAAATAATAATGAGTTGGATACCACATCAATCGCCACATCAGCACGGTAACCGGTTAATACTTCAACCAGTTACTCACGTATTTAAATGTTTAAAACTTTACATTTTAGGTATCAAAATAGAAGTTTTAAAAATACGTTATCCAAAATAGAAATCAAGTTAAAGTACATTACTTTTCATGCAATTTGTCCTTTTTTTAATTAACATATTATATTTTTTTAATTGTCATCATAATTATATATATCCAAATTATTTTTTTATTATAATAATATACTTTAAAAATTTACTAATTATAACAATAAGTAACATGTTAATTTTTAAGTCGGTTTTTTCAATTACGTGTCACAATTAAATAGCAATTCAGTTAAGTCATTTACGTAAATGATTTTAAATGAATTTTTTTATTAAAATCTTGAGCTCCTAACCTATATAGTGGGGGTATACTTGTAAAAGGTTATAATTTTAAATAAAATCTCATTTAAAGTTATATACCTAAAAATTAGGTCCATAAACGAACCGTATGAAAGTTTATTCATTTTCGTTCGTTTGACATAATCGAATAAACGAACGAAAATTTAATATTCATGTTCGTTCATTAAAAAAAAAGTATGTTTTTGTTTTTTTCAGGTTCATTCATAAAAACTAAACAAACATAAACGACCATTCTTAATCAAATATTAGAGAAAAAAAGGCATGCAAAGAAGTTATATAAGGAAGCATAATTGCATCAGTTTTCTATTATTTATTTATTTATTATTATATCTTTTTAAGAAAATATTAACTCTTTATTATTATTAATTGTAATATAATTATAATTATTATTATTTATATTTATTAATAATAATTATCATTCAATTATTAAAATTTTAAGTATTTGTATGTCAATTTATTATCTATTAAATGAACATAGATAAACATACCTTAACAAACATAAGTAAATGAACGAAACGTTTTTTCATATTCATTTATTTAATTAAACGAATAAAAAAATTTGTTCATGTTCATTCGCTTATTAAATAAAACGAACTTTTTATTAAACGTCTGTTCGGTTCGCTTACAACCTTACTAAAAATTATACAATTTTTTTACGTGGTAATTAAAATAAAAACCTTTATTATAAAAGATATGAGTGATTCTATGTCCCATCAGTAACTCCTTAAAAAGTTGGAAGAAGAAAATGAACGAATATGTAATCGTTTGCTCATTAAAGGGGTGTTTGGGATTACTTATTTGAAACAAATTATGTTTTTTTATAAAAGTCTTTATCAATATATTATAAGTTAGAATTGTTTAACTTATTAAAAAACTTCTTATTATCGATTTGGTACCGATATAAACTGTTTATCCAAACACTTAAAAATGTTTGTTAATGGTCCCGTAACAAAGCAAGTCAATAAATTGTTTTTTTTAAACGTTACCAAAACACCCCCTAAATAAACGAACCTCCTGTCAAATGCTCGTTGATTGTGCGGTTCTATCAAAAATAAAAACCTTTTTCATGAAAAACTTCCGTCCCTGTTCGCCTTGAGCCCCGGCGCCGGAGCAATCCTTCGGTTCTGTTTAATGATTTCAATCATACACGCAGAAACCCACGTCCGCGATTTCACGTATAAACCCTAGTACGATTTCAGACTATTTCACGCATAGACTCACTGATTTTTGGAGTCACCAAGGTTTGAAATAAACCTTTACACCATTCAGGAGCACAATTTCAAAAAACATTTTTAGTTTCAGAAACGATTTCTGCTAGACCGCTACATTACAGGTTTTGCTCCTTGATTTTTGCTTTTCAGTTCAGAGTTCAGACTATTTACTTCTTCTTGAAACCTCACTGATGTTGATTTTGCTCACTCATTTGAAACTTCGCTGGTTTTGATTTCGAAACCTAATTGCTTTTGATTTTGATTTTGTTCACTGCAGAAACTCCAAACAGAAACTTCAAATTGAAACTTCCAGAAACTTCAAAAAGGTTTGCTATTGATTTTTCTTAGCCTCTTTCTATTTGATTTATATGAGCTATATTTGATTTATATGGTGGAAACAAGAATCATCTTATGCTAATTAAAATGCAACCCTGGGTCCGCGGTTGTTCTGGATCCGCCATTGCTTTTTAATCTAGTTTATGGCTTACTAAACGAGGCTTTTTCAATAATATTAAAAAATAAGCTAGCTTATGGTTACCAAACAAGACCATAAGCATTTTGGTCAGCCGGCTATAGAAACTTTTACTCAAGGATGTTGGCCATGCCCCTACCGATGTTTATCTTTCAAAAGTAAATCAGTTTTTGTGCTTTGGTTACTGTTTCTATTTTGAATTACCTTTGTTCCTATTGACTGTTCTTTGATATCTATGTTGGAAAACATAACAGGTTGGTATTGCTCGTTTGGCCGGGGCTGATTCCTCTATCCGAGAAGTGTTTTTTGGTTGTTGCTGATGATTAATGCTTTATTTCTTTTCTTTTTTTACATAGATATTAGTTTACTTGGTGCCATTTATATGTTCCCCAAAGTATTTTCTGGCATATCCTTCAAAGGGATCTCATGATCAAGTGATGAAAATTGCTGTCAAGCCCAAATACCTTCCTTCGTTTCTCAAATCATCTGCAACTCGAAAAAACTACACTGCAACTCTTTCCCCTCTTCCACATGGCCACCTATCCTCAAACAATAGCACGACCACCAAAACCCCCGCCGATTACGAACACACCCTTGTTGCAGCATTGAAATCGTGTTCTTCCCTTTCTGCTCCGCTCCTACAAGGCCAGCGTCTCCATGGTCATATCCTCAAGTATGGACATGACTCGAATATCTTTATTCGTAATAGCTTGATCAGTTTGTATGCCAAGTTTGGTGCTATGACTGATGCAGAATCCATTTTTGTTTCTGGGTCCCAATCGGATCGTGTTTCTTGTAACATTATGCTTGCTGGTTATGTGAAGCTTGGTCGTTTGAATGATGCCTGCCAACTGTTTGATAAAATGCCTGGGAAGAACAACATTACTTTTACCACAATGATAATGGGGTTGGCTCAAAATGGGTTTTGGTATGAAGCAATCCAGGTTTTTCAGGAAATGAGGTCGTTGGGTTTGGTTCCCAATGAAGTAACAATGTCGAGTCTTCTGTCCTCCTATTCACATGTTTCTGGGGTTAGAAATGGTCAAATGCTTCACGCATTGGTTGTTAAATCTGGCCTTGAAGATTTTAATCTTGTTTTAACTAATTTGGTTCACGTGTATTGCACTTGTTTCTGTTTGGGCGAGGCAAGAACTTTGTTTGATGGGATGTCAGAGAGGAATATAGTTTCATGGAATGTTATGTTGAATGGTTACTCAAAAGCTAGATTAGCTCGGTTAGCCAGAGACCTGTTTGATAAAATGCCTGTAAGAGATGTGGTTTCTTGGGGCACGATGATTGAATGTATTTTACAGGTAGAAAATTTGTGTGAGGCTTTGAGATTATATCGTGCAATGGTAAGCAGTGGGATATGTCCTAATGATGTCATGGTGGTAGATATAATTTCAGCATGTGGCCAAGTAATGGCATTTTCTGAAGGTCAGCAGTTTCATGGTCTAACTGTAAAATCCGGATTTGATTGCTATGACTTTATTCAGTCGACAATCATCCACTTTTATGCCGCTTGCCACCATATCAACCTTGCCCGAACTCAGTTTGAGCTAGGAAGCAAGAACCATCTGTCTTCTTGGAACGCTCTAATATCAGGATTAGTAAGAAATGGAATGATGGAATCAGCAAGAGAACTATTCGACAAGATGCCCACTAGAGATGTTTTTTCGTGGAGCTCAATGATATCTGGGTATTCACAAACAGAGCAGCCGGATAGGGCTGTACAACTTTTCCATGAGATGTTAGATAGTGGTATTAAACCAAACGAAGTAACAATGGTTAGTATGGTCTCTGCTGTTGCTACTTTGGGCAGGTTGCAAGAAGGAAGATGGGCTCACAGGTATATAATCAATAACTCAATCCCTGTAAATGACAATCTAAGTGCAGCCATCATTGACATGTATGCCAAATGTGGGAGCATAAAGAATGCGTTACAGGTCTTTAATGAGGTCAGAAACAAGGTGTTGACCATCTCACCTTGGAATGCCATTATATGTGGTTTGGCCATGAATGGTCACGCAAGGTTGTCTCTTGCAATCTTTTCTGACTTGGAGAAAAGCAGGATAGAGGTGAATTCAATCACATTTATTGGAGTACTAAGTGCGTGTTGCCACGCTGGTTTGGTAGAAGAAGGTAGGAGACATTTCAAAAGCATGAAAAATGTGTACAATATAGAACCAAGCGTGAAGCATTACGGTTGTATGGTGGATCTTTTGGGTAGAGCAGGGAGATTAGAAGAAGCAGACGAAGTGATAAAGAGCATGCCTATGGAGGCAGATGTTGTGATATGGGGCACATTGCTAGCAGCATCTAGAAACTATGGTAACGTCGAAATGGGAGAACTGGCAGCCAAAAGTTTGTCAAAGGCAGATCCATCACATGGTCCTGCAAGAATTCTTCTGTCCAGTCTTTATATTGATGCAGGACGATTGGACGATGCTGCTTTTGTAAGACGAGAAATGAAAAGTCAAAGATTAACAAGGTCACCTGGTTACAGTGGCGTGATATGATCCATTTATTGTTGGAAAAAAAACAAATGATTTCAGGTGCAATTCAAGATTCCCATATATGTTGTTATAACAGTCATCATAAAAAGATTCTAAAGCTAATTCAAGATATTTGCAAATTTGTTGTCCTATTTTGTGTCTGTGCTGTACTGCAGGACTTATTCAAGTGTAAACCATACCAAATGAACCCTGTATATCCTACTCGAAAGTAGGGTCTGACAAAGTTGTTAAAGGCTCAAGGCGCACTTAGGCTGCAATAGGGTCCCGGGGCCTAGGCGCGAAGAGCAGGCGTGAGGCATGGGCCTTAGGAATGTGAGGCACATCTTCTCAATATATACACTCACACACACTCACACACACAGTTATACACAACAAGTCTTCAGTGCAGCAACAAACAATACTTTGATAGAGGCAGAAGGGTTTAGAGCATGAGCCATGAAGGAGAAGTTTTAAGGTCTAGTTTTAAGTTTTAAGGTATTTATAGAGAAGGAGGCTTGAAGTTCTAAGGACTTAGTATTTAGTATTAGGGTTTGACTTATGTCATCTATTTAATAACACTTTTCTTAAGAAATCTAAGAGACGAGAAGATGAGAAAACTTATTTAATCTTAGGGTTTAACTAGGTATATAGTAACTCTTTATGTGGCACACCTAGGCCCTCAAGGCGCCTTAGCAAAGGCGTAGTGCCTTAGTGAGCCTCGTGAATACGCTGAGCCTCAACTTGAAAAACGCCCAAGACCTTGAGCCTCAGAGCCTAGGTGCGCCTTTTAACAACTATGGGTCTTTGAGTGGAAAATACACAGACCATTTCTTTATCCCAAAGGCTAGAATGGCTGTTTTTGTGAATACCCCAGGCTTGTGTAAAAGTGTGATGAAAAACTTGTTCGAGTGCCTAGTTAACAATTTTCAATGTTGACTGGGAAATGGTGTCATAACTTTGAGTTAAAATGTGTTCTAATGTTAATGGCCCCAACAAGATTGACATTTTGTCATCCTTAAATCAATTAGGAAATGTGCTCTATTAAAATTTGTCATACAGTAAAATTATATGTGATTTTTGAAATTAGTAAATTACAGATTTGGTCATTGACATTTGTTCATTTTAACGGCTTTTGTACCCAAACTTTGTTTATTTCATATTTGTCCCTGACGTTTGGAAAATCTCTTGGTTTTCTTCCTTCCCACTAACGGCAGTTAATTTTTTTTGTTAAGTCTAGCTAAATGAGTACTTTGGTCATTTTACTATTTTCTTATTTTTCTATTGAGAACATGTTATAGTATTAGCTATACTATATAAGCATGGATATCGGTTACCTATTGAAAATTAAGAGGTACATGTTCCTATTCTTCATGTACCTAAAAGCAATTAGTTAGTGTTGAAAATTAAGAGGTACATTCTCTTATGGTTCCTGTGCAACTCCAACTTAGTGTTGAAAATTAGGAGGGTCTTATCCTCTATTCGATGATATCCAACGTTAAACCCCCATCCTACTCCCATCAATTCCTCAATTGATCATTTACCACCAAAGAAATTTAACACTGTCTGCAAATTCTACACTTGCTTCTACCCCAAAGGAGACAATGTTGTACAACTTCACTCACAAAGGTATGATGGCAATCTATCTATGTAGTTTTATCATGCTTTCTTTCTCAATTTTGTCTTGTTTATATCTCTCTTCTTTTGGCGTTGCTGATGGGTTGCAGATCATGATTTCTTGATCAACTCTTGAAGGCAGCTTCCTTTAGAACTTCTGCTTTTTGACAAGGTATGGTTTCCCTTAAATGTCTCAAATCTTTTTATGAATCCGAGCTTTTTGAGTTGTTGATGGGACCCTTATGTATATTGTTTTGATTTTCATATTGTTAAATGCGTGATTTAGGTTGATTTTATATATAGAAATCTACTTCAGTTGCTTAAGTTTTTGTGTGTATTTATTTGAATGGTCTCTCAGTTGCTGATCCTTCCTGCCCACTATGTGCTTGTGGTTATAATTACAGGTTACATAATCTCACAAGTACCCAGCAAGGATTTCTTGATTTTATATTTTTTTCTTCTATCATTGCACACGTTTAGTAGTAATCATGGGGGAACGAAGCCTTGTGCCAGTGAGTAATCATCCCTATTGGACCAACCATCATCTACCTCATGCTTAGGAGTAATCACAAGATCCTCTTGTGTTCTCAAAATGCCAAATATTAACCATGGATATAGATTGCATCGAATTAGCTTCCTATATATGTGTAGACAACTGTCTATTGAAAATTCATTTGGCCAATCAAACTAAGCTCCCGTCCAATGTGGTATAGAAGCTTTTCTAAGGACCTCCTTACTAGAAGTCTAGAACCAGATAGGATTGGGTGCTAATTGTTTATGTATTCATACACACCACAGTAGGAAAATTTAGAGCTTTTGGGAATGAGTTTTTTGGGCTCCTAAGATTTCTATTTTGGAAAAAAGCTTGTTTTTCTCAATAACGTTCTTTTATAGCCATGAACCCAATTTGATTATTTATGAGTTCAGCAAAAAATCAGAAATATTTCTTCTCACATAAAGATTATGGTAGTTGGTGAAGTCAGGCAGGAGAATGTCCCTTTGAAACAAAATCCTTCAACTTGATTGCAGTATTCTAGGTGAGCTTTTTCATTTGGTGCAAAATAGATGATATAATTAGAAGCCATTTGATAAAACTACAGAAAAATTGTTGATTTCATGTTGTGCACCCAAAGATTTAAAAAATGTTAGCATGCTTTCTGATGGCTTCTTTATAGAATATACAGGGGATGATATTATCTATTATACTAAGATTTCACTCTGCAAATGAACGTACAAGGGTTTCATTATTTAATGTACACAAATTTCTTTATTGAAATCGCACGTCTGCTTTATTAAGATAAGATTCTGATGGTTACATTTGACGAGAAGTTGGCTGATGTCTCTCACTTTTCTTGTACTTTATGTTGTTATCGCTTTTGCTCTGAAACCCCACACAAAATTGTTTATGATTACTGATGACATGTTCTTTGTTTTCAGCCTAATATGTTCTTTGTTTATGTTTTTTTCTGACTGATGTGTAAAATAGTCTTTGGTTTTCATTAGGGGACTTAATGTCTGAAACCAGTTTCTACTGTGGTTTGCTAGTATTGTGGATTTTCTCAGTTGGAATTTCTTGGATTTCGCTTTTCTTTGTTCAAGTTTAAATGGTCAGTTGTTTCAGAACTTGAGTAGTTCTGCTTTTACTTAAATGGTGCTCCCTATTTTATTGCAAAGTATCATGCAACTTGTCCAAATTTTATGTAAAGTGTGTTGAGATTTCAAGTGAAAAATGATTTGTTCTGAAAGCTCTCGATGGGAACACCCTAGATATTCTTTTAATGATAGAAATAGGGAAGGTTTAATTTTCTTTTTCTTAATCCACGTTTCTGGACTTGCACTGTCTTAGAATAAAATTTCACGTTTTATATTTTTACTTATATATGGTTATTATCTTTTTGTATTGGTATTGTCATTTTTCATTGTTGAAGTTGGGTTAGTTTAGCCATTCAAAGGTGGTCATATAGTAACATAGCGAGTGAATGTGCTTGAGTTTACATATTGTTGGTAGATGCTCAGATTCTGAGCAGATTATGAGATCATTTTTGTTTTCTTAGTTATATACTTTTTTGGGTAGCATCTTAATCTTTCTCAAGTTGAGTATTTTGTAACTTGACTACCAGCGATTCTTAAAAGCGTCTGTGCCTATTCCAGAATTGCACATTCTATGGTTGGCCGTTTTTGTTGGTCATTATTTTTTTATGTTGCTTTCCAATGTTAGATTTTTGAATGATGGATCGAGTTCAATGTACATGCTTGCTTCAGGTGTATGAGAGCTTCTTGGATGCAAATGCTTTATATGGTTGTGCTGATTTTGTGATTGCTGACACCGAACAGTGGTTGATAAATGAACTGCTGCCTGTACCTTTGTTGCCGATTCTCCGTCTGCCTATCTGAGTTTGTTTTACTGGTAGTAAGTTTTAGATCTTTGTTCAGAATTTGCAAAATGCTATACCTTCTGTTAGAGTTTCTGCGAAATGATTTTGGTATGTCGTTATTAGCTGCCATATATGTGCATCTTTGACTTGGAGTTTTATGTTCCATCAAGTGCAGTATCTTTGATTTATATCTCAGATGTTATTGCTTCTCTGGTACACAAACTAGGCACAAACCAGCTAAGCTAACACAGGAGATTGAGATGTGTTGACCAAGGACGGCCCTAGTGTACCTGCTAGTTCATTGTAACATCCCAAGCCTTGTTATATAAAATGGGAACCGTTACTTTACATGTTAAGACTTTCTTGAATCTGAACTTAAAAATTTCTTTTTATTTAGTACATTTCTTGAATATACATCAAAGAAGAAGCTACTTTAGCGGAAACGTAACCATAATTTGTATTACAACAAACTTGCTTTAAAAACTAAAACCATTATACTTTACGCAAATCCTTCTTACTTCCATTCTGAGATACATACATGAGATATATAAGCTATAAGCTTAGTGAGTATTTATAGTTTCATGAATGAGAAATTTCATGATATTTTGTAAATGATAATTCATAAAAGCTCTTGATCATGTGTATAAATATTCTTTATTCTCATGCATAAACATTCATAAAATACTATATTCTTTATCATGCATAAAACATTCTTTTGAGATCTCACTTGTCACATGCATGTATACCATACTTGTCTTGGGGTTTGCTAACCCCCGGGTCCATGAAAGGCTGCCCTATAAGGTTCGTTTGCAAGACGTTCCTTCTTGTAATATCCCGTACGTTGGATATTATGGTTATACATAACATGTAAAAGTTTTCATGGCTTGTGTAACACATATGATAACATGTAAATGATTTTCATATCTTGTATGTATACTTGTATTAAAACATGTCATCATTGCATATCTTGAATATGTATATATATCAATATTTTCATGTAAAACAAAGCATGCCAACATAACTCGTAATGCATAAAATACTTGTATAAATATAGCATG